GGTCTCCATTGGCATCCCCTTCTATTCTTGGTGTCACGTAGAAAGGGAGAGCACTCCTAGCATGCTTCTTCCTATGCTTACTGCCCATCTGTCTGTTATTTGTTCTCTGGTTTTTGGCCTCCTGTGCCCAGGATCCTTCACATGCAGCTATTTCCCATACAGATGCCTAAAGCTTCTGGAACTCATGTCCCAGGCTGCAAGGACCGTCCTGTGGCTTGTCATGCTATCTCAGAAAAACACTTCCAGGCTCCCTGCAAGGAAGACCTTGAGGGCTGCGTTAGGGCATGCTTTCACTTTGGCTTACACAGAGGAGTCCCTGAGCAAGAGTCCACAGAGGTGATGGCAGCCAGTCTGCTCCATTTTTGGAAAATGTTGTATTTTAGGCAGCAGCTGCCCCTAAACTTGCTCTGCAGCTCACCTTTTTTTCTTCTTCTGTATTAAAAGGCTCACCTTTCCCAGCTGGGGAAAATACATGCTTCAGATTAGCTCTGGCCAGCAAGCATGTTACTGTCCCCTGTCCCCCCCACCTCCCCTCCCTCAGACTTCATCTGCCTGAGGAAGGCTCCTTTGAGAAGATAGCTTGTGTCTAGGAAAATGTTTCTTTGTAGCATTGGGATTGTTCTTTTAAAGCCCAACAGCTGGGTAAGACTGAGCGGGCAGAGGAGGGCAAGACTGTGAAGACATCTAGAGCAGAGGGTAGTCCTGAAGTACAAACCTGGTTTTGCATTTCACTCTGAAGGAACCAGATGTCCCCTTGACTCCTTGCATAGCACCCAGGGCTACTATGTAAAGTTGGCAGCAGGGCTGAAGCTCCCTTATTTGCAGCACAAGGCTTTGCGTAGGTTTTGCACAAGCACAGAAAGTCCTAGGGGGTTCGGCTTGAACAGCCAAATTGTCTCTCAGAGGGCCTATGTAAGCACTTGCATTTTTCACCTAACTCTTGTTCTTGTATTCTTTGACAGTTGCAGATCAGGCTGTAAATAAGGTTTGGCATAATCTTCCTTCTTTCCACTGGGGGGTGGTGGTGGTGTGGGATTGGTGTTTTGTTTGTTTGCTTTAAAAACACCTCCCTTCTCTCCCCAGTTTCTTAAAAGATCCTGAGGACTGAGACAGGGACAAATGGATGTGGTAGAAGTATCCAGCATCATCTGGGATTATATCTCATTTTAGCTACTTAATTAATCCAGCGGTCTTGTCCCTATGACACTTTCTCCTGGACACTTCCTTGGAATTGCTCTACTTCTAGCAGGCAGGCTGTCACCAAGACCAGCAGAGGCCCATAGCTCAGCTGGGAACGGTGATGGCTGGTATGTTTTGCCTTTTGTTACGTAAGTCAGGAGAGGTGAACACGAAAATGTTTGTTGCTTTGCCCAGATTGGGAAACTAAAATTGTCTTGCCCCTGTTCAGAAAAAGACGTCAACTTGAAGTAAGGAGAGAAAAAGATTTTTTTAATTTCATTTATTCAGGCCTCCTCCAAGGTAAAAAGCTCATCTTATACCAACTTCTTAAAATGGTTGCTCATGCCCTGCCAACTCTCCTCACTCAGGTGCTTGCTGTGGAACTAAAGATCAGCGTTTTGCTACAAACAGCCTGTTTAATGCTTTTTTTCCCTCTCCCATTAAATTGTTACATTGTCTATGATAGGCCTATTCCACAGTGGGGTGGCAGTGGTGAAAAAAGACTGTATTTCTACCCAGTGTCTTTTTCTCAAGTTTTCCAATGGCTGTGAACACTTTCTGCCAGCAACACCCTCTCAATGTTCCCCTTCTTGAAATGCCTAAAGCAAGGGTTTCCAGCAGGAGCAGGTGCTTGAAATTTTCACCTAGCATGAGTCATTCTCCTTGGATGCTGCAATATTTTGTTTAGAAGGATCAGTGGCATGAGCCTCTGATCTATGCTTGATCTGCAGCTGCTGCTGAGGTAAGCACCTAATTGACCAAAGCTACCAGGCTTCCCAGGGATTCACTGAAATCTCTACAGCAGGTTGAAACTTAAGGAGTCTATTTACTAGTAGAATGGTCCCCCAGAAAGTGGGAGCTACTGCTGTAGATGATATCACTTTTCTTGCTTAAATGTGAACCTATGCCTTGATGACAGTATACATGTTAAAAAAAAAAAAGTGTCCTTAAGAACGCCTTCCTCTGAAGAACATAGAGCACTTACCCTTTTACACAATTTAGGCAAGAAGTAAGTAAGTAAGTATCTTGGGGAGCAGGTAAGTGAGAAGATAGATAAGATTATGTATGAGAAACACTCAACAGCACAATGGAGATGGGCATGGTTTGTGGGCCTGATAGTACTAGGAAAGCAGGTACCTTTCAGAGTAAGAGTTACAACTATTAAAAGCCTGCAAGAAATAGGCTAAGGTCTACAGATTAAGCACTGTTTAAAACTCTTATGTGTTGTTAAGAATGAAGTTGCACATCAACATTTCATTTATGAAGTGTTAAAAGGCTTATCTCAACGGATCCATCAACAGCCTGGATCATAACCAAATTTCTCTATTCAAATTCTCTACCACATAATTTTCATTGTGTGCAAGCCATACGCTGTAACGGTAGCTGTGCGGTCAGCCTGTTGTGACCTGTCACCTGAGCCACCACACGAAATAAAGACAGTATTTTTGCTAAAGCCTGCTCTTTGCCCACAGCAGTAAGAGCAAAGGATGCTTCTGGCCCTCATCCTAGCTTGGAAATCAGTGCTCGCTGCAGTGCTTATTTCTCTGAGTTTAAAACAGTAAGAGCATATTCTCTTTTTTTTTTTCCTCTTCCCCGATTTACCATCATTACTATTTGTGTTGGAAAACAAAGGAAACCTGCAGGACTCGAGATGCAAACCTGAGCAGGCATCATGTAGTCACAGTGCAGATTACAGTCAAATTGCCACAGAGGAGTGCAGCTGTCAGTTTTGGTTAGGGAAATCTATGAAAGTACTCTCTGGTCTTGAGAGGTTAGAAATTGAAGGGTGTAATAACTTGAAGTTTGTAGGAAATCTTATAATCGAGTTGCTTTAATTCAGAGTGTGTGTTCCCCATACACACCTATTTTTGTGGGGAGATGGGGTAAGAAGAATAATACATGGAATGGCACCTTCCAAGTTTGAGCTTTGTGCTGTTTTCGTTTTCCTTTTTTCTACATGAGGGCTGTGCTCCCTAAGTAACTTAATGCTTCTGAGAAATGCCACTTCAAACCTGCTTCTCAGACTGTTACAGATTCAGGTGCTATATCTTACATTAGCAAGCTGCTAATTTGGAGGTTGCTTTTCAGTACATTTAACATGTGCAGGCTGCTAACCAGAGAAAAACATATCACATACATACACACACACACTTAAAACTAAGGTGTTTGTTTATTACAAACTAGTTTTACCATAATCAGCGCTGACCCCTCTCCATTGCAGTGTAACCAGACATATGCATAGTGTCTTGGAATTCCTTCAGTGTCAGGCACGTGCTGCCTACTTGAAGGATCCCCAGTCTGGGAACTGGTGTCACTGTGCTGAACACCAATACTCTCACTGTAGCAATGTAAACACAGCCAAAATTCAAAACCCCAGGTGTGCAAAGAATTTCAGCATAGAGGACTTTGTGAAAGGTTTTTGTTTGAGATTTAATCAACATACACACCTACTTCTTTCCTTAAAAGATCATTACGAGTCTCTGAAAAAGGAGTGTTATCGAACAAACAGATGCTTGGCTTCTCACCATTGTTGTTGCTGGCAGATGTACTGAAATGATGCAGTATATTTAAAGGAGGCCAAATATATCCTCACTGGCATGTAGAGGAAGTTTCCACAAAAGTCATACAAGAAAAAACACTAAGTGCAGAGACCTGTTCTGCTGTGTCCGTGCAATGTTCATCCAAATGGCTTACTGGTGAGAAAATAAATAGTGCTTTAAAACACCTTTCAGCTAAGAAAACAGGCAGTGGTTGAATTTAAAAGTACGAGGTACAGGGAAACTTCTCATGGCCAAATGTGGTCTGTGACAATCCATTGATGCTTGCTGTATTACCGTTGTCATCTTCATTTTTCTGTGAGACAGGTGAGCAGTCAGCTATCCTGTAACCAGAAGAAAATAGGCACTTAACATGCTAGCAAAGATGGTCAATAAAAGCATGAGGGTTTGGAAGTATAAACTTTATGGGTGACAGCAACAGAAATCAGACCAATATCTTGCCCTAGCCTGGACATGTACATTTACCAGAATGCCAGTTTTTGTGAATCTGACATGGAGCCCTGAACTGTGCATTGCAAGGGTAAAATAGCACAGAATTCAGTCATATATCCACCAGGCTATTTTAATGATTTTCAGAAAGAAAAGTGCTCAACTCCTAAAAGCACATCCCAGACACCAAGAGCCAAAGCCCCAGTTACAGTGTTAACCTTAAATGCACACTGCATTACACAAAATAGGTATCTATGGATGATCTGGCATTCTTCTGAAAGCAACTCTTGTGCAAGAAGCAATGGCAAATTTGAATGAAAAAAGCATCCTGAAATTCATAAAATGATCTCATGAGACCTCAGACTCCAGCAGATTTTAAACTGTCTTGGCTTCTTCTGCACTCACCTCAGATTCTTGCCTTTCTGGGAGCGTTTCTATTCCGTTGTGATCCTGTATGTGTTGTGGGCCCTTGGCTTCTAGCTCTATATCAGCCTGCACGTTGGGCTTTTCATTCTCCCATTTTGCAAAGCCTTTGTTTTTCCCAGCTTTGCCATGGAACTTGGACTTCATTTTGGGGAAAGTATGGGAACCTGAATCATTCCAGCCTGGCTCATGCCACAGTGGTTCTGTCTGTGTTGCTTGGCTGGTGGTTGCCCTCTGCAGCCGCACCGAAATTTTCCGCGAAGAGCCAGTGACAAGAGTGATAGCTCTGCCATCGAGGTCCTGGTGTTCCGCTGCAACACTGGGAAATTCAAATACTTCATCTTGGACTGAAAGAGAGGGTGGAATTGTAAAATATTTATTTTAAATATTCTACATGAAGATCTTTACAAAAAGATAACTTAAGCCTGGGGTGGGTGGGAGGTAACACCCTATATGAAGCAGTGGTATAATTAGCAATATCCATACGCTAGTTGGAAACTGATTCTGGCCCTGTGTGTGCACATTGCCTTCTCCCTCCGTCTGCACGCTCAGGGGATAAGGCAGAGCTAGAATTGTGCCCTCTGTCTCCCAGCCCCTGCTCCTAAGTGGCTTACAAGGAGAAGTACAATTTCCCTAATTATTATTTAATTTATTTTCAGCTGGGGTAGGGATGCCAGTATAGAGAATAGGGACCCTCAGGCAGGAGACTAAGGCCATCACTGCAGAAAGGAATGTTGTAATCTGAGCACTGAACACAAGCCACAGTGCAGTGGAAAGTACATGTGCTGCTCTGTGCATTGATACAAAGGAAAAATTAAAAAATGGCAGCAAGGACACCGGCCATTAGAGAGGATTCCAGAAATGGTTTAAAATAAATAGGAACAAAAGTGCTCTCACCTGGAGGCAGAGATGGACTGCTAGGCAGAGAGCCGTGGTTGCTGCCTACCGAGGTTCCTCTGGAAAATTTCCTGCACGCCAGCACAAGCAGGTCTCTGCACTGCTTATGACAGTTGGCACCGCAATCTGTAAAGAAAGGAATTGTCAAGTCACCAAATGGGAAGCCACGACTATCTGGTAATCCCTCAGGGCTATCAGCAGACAGATACCAGGAGGGACTTTGAAGGAACAAATACTTTGACAGAAGGTGTGAAGGGTGTTACAAAAAATGGATCTTTTCTGTGGCACAGCCATTAATAGAAATCTGGCAGCAGAAGGGAAGTGTAAGAGACCTGGAATTACTGGTATGACCATGTGTATGCCATGCATAAAGCTTCTGCTCCACCGTATAAGCCTCCAAAAAAAGGTTTGCTTTTTTTATTTGACCCAGCAGGGCCCATTATAGTAAACACACTTGAGCAGAAAACACTGGAGCATCCGTACTCTAAGCCTCTGGAAGGAGGGCTGGAGGTTAGTGTAGACCACTGTAGGTTAAAAACAGTCTAGCAGCTCAGCAAGCAACACCAGCACCAGGTAAGGTCTGTGGACATGTGTCATCCACCTGGATGAAACTAGCTGAGGGCCTGCACACGTGCCTCTGCTGAGCGTTGCATCTCACTGCAGATACACTCGTCACTAGGTACATTTATCTGAAGTATGACTGCAGTATGGATCTTATTTGCAACAAAGGGCCAGAGGGTGGAGGATGTGTGCCCCAAACGCAGGCGCTCTCTCCTCTGTGTCCCTTGCCCTTCTTTGAAACTTTCCACCTCCCTTTGTTTCTCTGTTGCTGCTCCAGGACTTACTTAACATTTTGTTCTAGGCGAGCCGCTGCCAAAGCGTTGTGTTTGTAACTCTCTGCTGAAAGAGCCATTCTGCTCCGGGCAGCAGCTCTAGCATGATGGGTGAGAGTTCTGGTTTCTCCCATCACCTTGTTCATATGACTAATATAAAAGTACCTGCCCAGCTATGGTTTTGCCTGCCCTAAAGGTAAACACCTCCCCAAATAAAATGAAGATCTCTTTTGGCAGTGAAGAACCTCTTTCATCACTTGCAGACCGCACAGTCTAGCTTTATCTCATCTCATTATCCACAGTGCCGGGGTAAGCAGCAGACCTGAAGAGATGAACGCCCTCCCTCCCCCTGCTAGCACGGTGTCAGAGGTTGAAAACAGGAGATGACAGCGCTGTGCTCAGAGGCAGAAATCATCCGTAATGGGTGCAGCACTCCAGGGATGCTGGCACACGGAGCAGCTGGCAGCTGCTGCAGCAAAGGGCAGGCACTAATTACACTTGTTGACCGCTTTGGGATCTGAGCAAGAAGCTCTGCTCTCTTGCTCTCATGCTCCATTGCCTATAATTTTGACTCTACAGAACCACTTTTGCTCTCTCTCCGCTGGGCCACTGTTACAAGCAATGACGCAGGACAGAGCTCAGCTTTCAGATCTCAAGTTGAGTTTACAGGGCTGCTGTGGCAAAACTCTGTCTTTCTTCCCTCATCCTACCAGTAAAAGTATAGACCACAACTAGCCCTTTCGTAGCTGCTCAGATGACAGTAATCAGGAATAGCTGAATTAGATACGTTGGTTTAGCCAGGGACATTTTCCCCACCCCTCTCTGAGGAAGAGATGTTCATGGGTGGAGAGGGAGGCAGGCATACGGTGTATCCTAGAAACCAGTCCTGCCAATTCATCACCCTTCTCCTGGAAGCCAGTGTAAGACTAAGGGGAAAGAGAGCATATAATTAGAACTATGAAGCCCCAGCATGAGTATTCCCCTGTGAATAACTAAGATGTAGCTACAACTGTGAAAATCAACAGAGCGGGGCTTCCTGAGAAATAAATAGGTCCAGGACTTTAAAGCCAACGAGGACCACTACAATGTCATTCTTGGTCTGACCTGCTCAATATAGTGCAAGTACTGCATAAGAAATTAAACATTTTATGAAAGCAACAGAGAGGGCTGTAAGAGCTCTAAGATTTTTTTTAAGTTGAATGTCTGCAAAAGTTCTTCAATGAGATCTGCTGGGCAGTCTAGGAATTAATTAAATATTTCTCTATTTCTAGCTCAGCCACTATTGCATTGCAAGGTCAGTTAGACTTCATTGCAGGCATGCGGATGTACATGACAGACAGCATTGCCAGCAGACCTTTTCCTGACCCCAAGTCTCAGCAGATAGATTTCAGGATGTCTCACTGTTAGGATGAGGACACTTGGTTTTCCAAGATGCAAGGTCTTTGCTAGTAGAAAGTAACACCTCATGGAGTCAGTATCTGCTTTGGACCTTTAGCTCGCAGAACCGATGTGTTCCTACTGGGTGGTATGTCCCCTAATGCGGTAAGACTTCATAGCGTACCAGCAGCCACTGTTCACAGACAGTACCAAGTGTAGAAGCAAAACTTCAATGAATAGATGCCATTTTAGTAAAAAATACAGTTGACCTACTTGTGCTAAACCCCACCACCTATAGCTTGAAAAATCCATGCAATATTTATTTACCTTTGCATTTGTAGCCTTGTTTGATTATACCCCAGAGCTGCAAAGAAAGACAAAAGAACGTCAAGGAATCAGAAAAGAAAGCTGGAAGGAAAACAAGGTCACAATGAGGAAGTACCAATGGCTACAAAAGCACAAACAGGATACAACTGCTCTTAACACCCTTCCTGTTAGGCAGACCTCCCCCTCTAATTGTGGTAAGACTTGTGTGGCTTCCCCCTTATTTCTACTACTTGCAGTGGGACTACCAGAGAAGGAGAGACACAGATTATATTTGCTTCCAGGAACAGGTGAAAAATTGCCATCATATGAAGCTTACTGAAAGCAGCAGAGCACATTCTGCTTTTAAGCTCACTTAACGTTATCTGTGGGGTGTTTTCCAGTGTGCATTCATTCTCCAGATACATGAATGACCCATGCCATTCAAACACAGCAGAAGAAAACACCACTGGGGATAAAAACTACGTTCTTGGTTCCCATACTTGTCTCCAGCACACCTAGCCATACCAATCTGATTTGTCCACCTGACTTTGTCCACTAAAAAAAAGGTTGAAGACTGAAACAGGCAGAAAAGCCACTAAATTCCATTTTTGCCTTCTACCAGAAGCTGTCCTTGTTGATGTATGTAACAACCAAACGCTAAACTTCCAGGAGAGAGTGTGTGCGGTGCCACTTTTGGGAAGCTTTCACTGCAACATGAACAAGATTGCTTGGAAGTAGGAGCAAATTGTTATCTATACACTCAGAAGTGCTGTATCTACAGCATGGCATTATAAAAACAAGCATTTCCACTCTGAGAGGCAGAGAGAGGAAGGAGCAGTTTTTCTAGCTTTAGCATTAAAGGAAGAAAATCAGTGACTCCAGTGTTTATTTATCCTGAACTCATTTGAAACATTACCAGGGAGGGTGAGCACATCCAGGCAGTTGAAACTGCACGTGGCTCCTCACCATATTTATAAGAATCCATGCGCAGTGTGCAGGGGGTGAATATGGTCAAGAAATGTTCAAAAGGGAGAGCTGGAGAACATTCAGAATACAAAGGAAAGAGTAAAATAAACAGAATAGGAAGATTCTGGGGGAAAAAATCCCATACGCTGCACAAAAGAATTTGCAAGGACTAATGTGGGCTTGGAGAAAGCAAAATAGATTAGGCAAAGTGGAAGAACGGTGAATAAAAAGAACAGAAGGGACAACAGTGGAAGGAGGGTCCATAGAAAGCCTGCTGCCTGCTCTTTTCCTGCTAATGCTGTATATATGCACAGTGAACGCAGTTGCTGTGGTCAGGCAGCGACAGCGGAGCCCCCCCAGCCCCTCTTGGCAGAGCGGCAATGACTTTTTTTCCCCCAGGATCAGAGTTAGAGACGTGGATTGTTATTTCTTTCATTTAAGCTCTAATCTGTTCCCACTGCAGAGCTTTCGCCTCACCTTCTCAGCTCTGTACCTTCCTCCCGCTCATATTTGGCACCACTGTTGTGGTTACACACAGCAGTGAAAGCTTAAGCTGAAGTGCCATGTCATGAATTCTGACCTAAAGCTTTGAATCTGTCTGACACAGCTTTGCCGCAAAGCTGGCTTGAGCCAGCTCCAAAGTAAGAGGATCTGTGCAAATTCAGATTATAAAGCTCAGCGGGGTGGCTGGTGACCTACCCCGCCACGTGGCGCAACTCAAGCTGTGGGACGGAACTGTGGCCGGCCACGGGCGTATCCATTTCATGCTGCTTAATGGCATTAGGTTTTAGCTTGACCTTTAAAGTTCGTAACGGTTTAATAACAGATATTTTATTGACTACTGTGTGCATTGCACTTTCACGTCAATTCATCCTGCTGCACTGTCAGCACACATTACTTTGACTGTGAATCAGTGCATCAGTTTGAAATTAGGTTTCCACCCGCGGATGAGCGGCGCAGAAATGCGGAACAAATACACAGCAGATTTTCTAGTTGGTTCCTGTCCTATCAGCCCAACTCATCCACAGGACAATGCCAATGACTTCAGTGCCCTGACAGGAAAAATGACCTTATTTCCATTTCCTGTACAACCCCTTACTCATTTGTATTCCTGCACTGGATGTAATCAGGGAGACATGAAAAATCCAACGAGGGCCAATTAGCAAACTGATGCTGGAGAAAAATATCTGGTGGAGGGGACATTGCAGGGCAGTCCTCAGGCCTTGCTTTGCTATGGAAGCCTTCCAAACATGAACTGAGTGTCACGAGCACCATGACGTCTTCCTGAGGTTCCAGGCCGCCTGAAACAATAGGCTCAGGCCCGTGACTGCCCCTGCCCCATCAGTCTGCCCGAGCTGTCAGCTCAAGAGCCCACCAGCACGCTCCTGAATCAGCACTGACGATGCTGCCTCCAAGGTTTTTGCAGTTCTAGCAGAAATAAGTGGAATTCCTCTTCTCTGTGGCCTTGATCCGTGGTTGCGATAGGGACCACGAGCATCTGAGCAAGACAGATGCATCGCAAAAGCAGCGAGCGGAAGACGGGAGCATGGGCAAGAGCAGGAACACCAGAGCTTGTCTGAGAGGAAGGCATGTTTTGGCCCTTCGTGGTGCTATTACTTTCAGCCACAAAAAAATAGTACTTAGTGGAAAAGTTCACGTAGTACAAGCCAAGAGCAGAGGCAGATCTGCACGGGAGAGCAGGGACCTCCTTCTGAGTTTACACCCCATGCACGGGCCACACATAAGCAGAGGACATGGGCCTCTGCCCTTATTGCTTCAGCTGTCTAAATGTGGACATGGGATTTCAGTGGGGTTTGTACATTAATGTAACTTTTAAATCATAGGAATTCCTTTTTCTTTACTATACTTGGTTTGAAGTGAAAAAGTTGGAGGCTTACAAGCAACACAAATATTCAAAAACCCAATCATTTTCCAGCTATGTATAAAACACTCTAATAAGTGGCATCTGGTAAATTATGGCTGAGAGAAAAAGCAAATTAAAAAAAAAACTCAAATTTAAAAAAAATCTTACTGTACAGAACTGCTGGAAGCAATTTTGATTTCTTGACCAAATTAGAAGATCTGTTAATTCAGTTGAGAAAGGATTAAGGCTGTTATGGCCAGTCAGAGAATTATGAACATAGCTATGTTGCCATGTGCAATTTCCTGAGAAAGAACGGCTTTTGCTTCATCTACATCCTCTGTTCCAGACACCCATTTTCCCTTGAGCTTGTTTACATGGGAAATCAAGTCAAATTAAAGAACTTAAGATAAACCAAGTAAGGCCATTCATATAGTCTCTAATATCCTTTAGCTAACATAATTTTCTTTTTTCTCCTGCAACAGTAATTCTTAGAAATGCCAGTATTCAGGAACCACTAAAACAAAACTGGATAGCACAGCTACAATTCACAGCTTCTGAATGCAATGAGATATTTGGCCAAGAGACTTTAGCAAAGTGTGGAGCCAGTTTCACCCTGTCTATGTAAAAGGGTAAAAAATTGTGTTTAAGATATGCTATTGTTAAAAACATACTTACAAATCCTGCACAGTGCTCGCAGAAAGTTGGTTTAAGATAGGTCATCTCCTGGAAGTTATGAATAAACCCTGGCCCCATTTTGCACTGGAACTGTGATTTAGCTCTCAGAAAGTAAGCCATCATTTCTTCTTTGCTTATAAGACCATCTCTGTTCGGAAAAAAAAAGCAGAGTAGATCTGTCACTGCTCACAGCGCTGAAGAATTCAAGATTTTCTTGTTGCAAAAACAATGCAGCACATCATAAAGCAGATTCTTCAAAAGAGCCCAACAGTCCTGGCAGAAAAAAAACCTTAAAGCCTTTGCGGTTCTTACCCTACATTAAACAGCAAACATTGAACTCACTGCATGGACCTTGGTTTCTCACCTGTTGATGATATCAGAGCACAGACCATAGCCATCACGTGAAGGACCTTGACTTACTGCTCACACAGACCAAGCAGTCATGCTCCTGGCTGACCACCAGTCTTGACAGTCAGAGACTCTGGACAACAAGAATTATCAAGCCCAACTGGCTAGAAAATACATATACCTCCTAGAGTATTTGTTACCCTCTCTCTGCTACGTACACTTATTTCCCCTGTCCTGTACACAACTTGTTTCACCAATCTGGCTGAAAATCTGATGCCTGGTCTGGGTACAGGATCTCCACTTTAATTTGACAGTACTGGAGGGGTTTTGACTCAGTCCCGTTCCTCGTTAAGCTATTACATAAATGATTTTTAAAGTACCAGGTAAAGCAGGACTCCAGCCTGAGTGGTCTTATAGAAGTGATTACAGCATAAGAAGTTAAATGAGAACAGAAATCAGCCTTCAGTGATCTTCGGTTCCTTATGCAAGATGTCAGACACAAGAAGCTTGGGAGACACTGTTTCTTCAATATTTGTTTTTCATGAGTTTTTAAATCGAGGAAAAGAAAAAACCCACAAAGAAAACTCCAAACTTACTGGTCTTTGTCCAGCACACAGAAAGAGTCCAAAAAGGGGAAGTTGGCAGCTATACTTTCAAAGTCTTCCTGAGAAATATAGCCATCGTGGTCATGATCGTAGTTCCTAAAGACAGACTGGGAAAAAAAGGAAATTATTGTCCTAATATCCAACCTATCCTGAATCAACACCAGCTCTTGAACCTTATGATTACATGTAAATTAATTCAACATTAGTTCAACATTACTAATTAGATATTCTGCTGCCATGTTTTATTCCTTTTATTCCTACTCGGTACTTCAATATGCATATTTATTAGACTGTAGGGGAAAAAATGGCTAATTTTTAAAGAAAACTTGACCTCAGTATTTATCTAGTGATGGTCCTCCACACCTCTTCAAACATAATTTTCTTGCTGTATTTTTCTTCTTTCTTGGAAATGTCACTAAAATTCTGCCCCATGTGACATATTCCCTTTGCTTCATTAAGTATGCTTTTTAATCACAAAAAAAGAAATAAACCAAAACCAGCTCAACAGCAGCTTTCCCATGTGTATTTCAGCTGTTTTTGGCTTCTCTTCTCTTTTAGCTGGTCACCTCTGCTCTGCCACAGTACTGTTTCGATCTGATTTGTTCACTAGTACTTTGATGTCCAGATCATGAACACTTTGTATCTAACAAAAACTCTCTCCCATCAACTCACCCCAGCTCACTACTAAGTAAAAACAGACATGGGATCAAATTTAAGAGGTTGCATAAAGTGTTGGAAGCCTTCCTTAGCTGCTAGGGGATTACTATATTCTGCCTTACTAATTGCAGAGATGTGTAAGGGGCATTAAATGTGATGCTGATGGGAAAAATAAGCATGTCAAAGTCAACATGACTATCTGAAAGACACATCGAAGCACAAACTGTCTCATCAGGTTAAGATTTGGTTGACAAAGACAAGAATTAAATATACTGAGACCTCTGAAGGGTGTTTGCATTGTCCTTATCTTAACAAGAATGTGACGAAGCCAATTTCTAAGCACCTAATACCTGTAACCAATGACTGGCAGACCTCAGGAATACATTGTCAAGAAGGAATCAAGACACAAACCCAAGTAGTATTCAACACTTTCAGTAATAAAAAACCCCCTAACACATTAAAGCACAACTTGAAGCGGCTAGTAAATGACAAAGACTGGCAAAACAAAGACAGCTGTAGAGGGTCGTGTGGGCCTCTCAGTAAGCCATATCCATAACAGCCCCAAACCATGTTTTAATCCTGTCAAACTCGAGATCATACATCCTGAACCAGGCCAAAACTGTGGAATGGAGGACTGCATCTCCCCCACCCACAGGAACAAGAACAACCACCCCACTCAGCACATTCTGGAAAGATTAAGGAGTTGCGACAGACTTCCTATTTAAACAAGCTATCACAGAGTTTTGGATGTGGAGTGATTTTTATCAACACATATGGCGCTGACAAAGGCAATACAGGAACAGCATGTGCAGTTCTGGCATCCCACATTAAGAGTAAAATGAAACTTTTTTTAAAAAAAGAGCATATACAAAAGGTAAACCACGAGATATATTTGAAGTCTGAGTGAGAGAACTGAAGACTTCGTTTAAGGTCTCTTAACAACACAACCCCAAATAATGACCTGTAACACAGATGAAGTCAGAATTTCGTAGTTCCTCCCAGAATCAGTTATTAATTTGTAAAAAGCAGAAGGAAATCTTGCTTCATTATCTACAACACATTCCTGGTTCTTCTGCATGCCGCTCACATCACTGAAAGTCCCTGACACACCAGCAAAACAGGGCTCAGTCTCTCCCAAGGAACCTGGTAGTGTTTGGTTTTGTTTGCATTATCGAACATGTCACCTTCCAGACGGAAGCTGGAAGGTCTCAGCTATGATTCTTCATGACCCCATGCCCACATTTTTAAAGTGGTATCAAAACAGTGCTATCTTTACCAATAGGTAGTATGCTCTGGACAGTCAAATGACAGCAAGTTGAAAACCAGAAATAAAATTTCGGGAAACCTTCTCTGGATATAGTAATGGGTGAGTCCTTGTTTCAGAGTATTTTTGTTTCTGGACATAAACTGGGTGGCTAGAGCTGCAAAAACTCCACTTTGCCCTTTCAATTTATATTTGCTCATTAAACGTCTTGAAAAGCAGCCAGGCTTTGGATGCTCCTGAAAGTTTGCTCCTTTTCATCCAGAAATCTGCTTACTAATCCCATCACTGACTGCAGAAATAAAGTAAATATGTCTGAAAGTATCAGTAAAAGCTCAAATTTGTTATTGGATGTCTGAAATTCATCCCAGTCCTAACAACTTCTTGAAAAGCTTTAACTTAGTTATAGTGATGACAATGTCAAAGCTCTTGTTCTCTTCAGCCAATATATTCTTCAAAATACTTACGTCCACCAGCTTTCGTATGTGCTTGTTAATGACTGTAGGGTCGGGTTTTGGTACCACTCCAGATGCCCACTCCAGTGGCACTACTGGCTTGTTAGGGGTGGTCGGGGAGGTAGGCTGCTGAGAGATGGATCAGAACACAAAGATTTTCAAATCTGAATTACAAAGTTGAATTTCCCGTTAAGCAGCTCTCTGTGTCAGAGCTATAACCACAAACCACTGGAGTCCCCGTGCTGTAAAAATGTGCTTAGCACAACATCAGGCGAGATGTTGCAATGAGACTCAGAGGAAGGGGGAAGGAAGGAGGGTCTCTGGACACAGTGGGATTCAGAAGGAAGTAAAGCCCAAACCCCTTTTTTTCTTTTCCCCAATATAGCCCTTGAGGAACTTGCCACCACGATGCAGCCTGGCCCCAGCTCCTGCTGGTGGGACCATGCCCAGGAGCCATGTGAGGGACTCCAGTGGCCCGAGTAAGTTAATGCTCCTGCTCTGTGCAGCACCAAGACGACAGCAGGATGCAGAAGCGGGGGCAGAATTGCGCTCAGCAATTCAGTCCCACAGGTTTCCAGCTGAGACGTGCCAGGACGCACGTGAAGCTTAATTCACTTAGGCAGCCTGGGCAGAAAGGGGTTAACCTTTGACTTGCTCTCCAGATAACACCAGCCAGACTATTTTATTTTGAAAATAAAATTTTCAAATTTTATTTTGAAAATAAAATGTCCTGAGGAAATGGTAGCTGACAGCTCACTTGATGCACAGAGCACGCAGTCCATCTCCCTCCACGCCACTACGGTACCTTGGGAGAAGCTCTGGCACATAGTTCAGTTTGTCCAAGTAGAAAATATAGGACAAACCTGAACACAGTTTCAGGTAAGGCTTCAAAACCCACCAGGCAGCATGAAAATTCTTGCAAGGCATACTGGCCTTCTCCTGCATCTGCCACTGTACATCCAGCAAGTGAAGCAGTGTCAAGAGGAAAAACTTCAGCATGGCTTAGATCAGAAGGGAGGTGACCCACAGCCTCCGAAGGCCCCTGCATTAGCTGATGAGCAAGAAATCTGTGTCCTGTCTCCCTTATTAATTGGTGCGAGTTAAAAGGGAGATCATTAAGCCATCTAAAAATTTTAGTTCTTATTGTGTTTAACCAAGATATTGTAGACTTCAACACTGAGATGAAAAATGGTCACAAGGTCATGCTCTACCAAGTTTGGTAGGGGGAAAAAAAAAAAGGATGTGTTAGTGGGTTGCTTTATTCATTTGGCTTTTCCTTATTCAATTGTCAGAACAGCTTTTATCGGTTCCTCAATGGCTCTTGACTAATCTTACAAATCTGCACAGGTAAGCTAAGGAAGAAAAACATCCCTATATCCACAGAATTCAATTCCAAGAGGAAATACAGTGAACCTGGACATCCAGCTCTATCCAGCCAAAAGCACTTAAAGAATGTTTTAATCCTAAAATTAATGTCGCCACACAGTGACGGACTAACATGCTTGCAAGTGTTTTTGCTCTAAAAATATGCAGAAATAGAGCAATCTTTTAAAGATGACATGTTACATGATAACATGTAACATACCAGTATTGTCATATTCTTACAGCTATGGTCAGAGAAGAAATTTGAAATGTGCCTTCGCTTAAAAAACTCTTAGACTAAAGGGACTCAAAGATCAGCATCAAAGTGTCAGAGTGGTGCTAGACTACCAAGTCCTCACAGAGAGCTTTTAACTCCTGATAGTCCAAGCGGAAAATGGCGGAAAGAGACTGAATCCACTGGAGAATTTCTCTTTATTCTGGGCTATTTCACTTGAAGCCTCATTCAGTTTTTATGTTTGTTGACAGGCTGCAATGGAAACTTCATGTTACTACCCACTAGCCAAAGGGAAATGTCAGTTCCTCCTATTTCACTGACAGATTCGTATGAACAACCATAATTTTATTTACGTATTTGAAATGCGTGCTATGAGGAAAGGTGCTAACCAGTGTCCAGAGACTACCTAGCTGAATTTATTGAAGGTTCGGAAACACTGTATCTGGTCACGCTGTTTGTGATTCAGCCTGTATCTCCCATCTGCTTCACTAGCACAGGCATAATGGTGTCCCAGATGGATGCAAACCTCTGCGTATTTTGGCATTGAAACAAATTCTACTCAAAAGCAAAAAAACTGTGTAAGTGTGCCTTCAGTGGCATGACTCTGCTAGGCAGATTTGTCTTCTAGCAAGCCCCCCAACAAGAAGGTAGCTACCTAACGCGCAGGGAAGAGCAGAACGGTGTGACAGGGAGATGCTATGGTGTAACTGGCGGTCAGTCTTCGGCAGCTTTTTAGGCCACTACACTGACTGAAGAGTCTCCTCCCAGTTTTAGCAGAATGAAAGTCTTGCTCAAGCCGCTGTTGACAGCGGGCTGGCGTGCTAACAGATCAGCTCCCCTTTGGCCTCAAAAACGACTGCAGCAGCATGAGGCTGCAGTGCACCTGCACAGGAGTTGCACCCCTACAGCAATAAGTCAAGGAGCAGTTGGAATGATAACACTATGCTGTCACATTGCCTGTGACAAATTTTTCTACCTACGAAAGCTCTACAGATTCTTCCCCCTCTAAAATATCTTGTGTGCTTTGGCGCTCCATCAAAGAGAAGTATGCTTCAAATAGTCCGGCTCCTGTCGATTCAGCTGCAGCTTTCTACCCATCAGGGTGCTGTAACAGCTCAATGTCACCGGTTATTCATTGATCATCATGCAGAGGCCTCCCACAGTTGCTGGGTACCGTTAAAGTTCACAGCACTGTTTATATTGCTTTTGTCCTTCTTAAACCTCAGGCTGGAGACCAAAGCCACAAGGTGATGATCTTCTTCATTTACGGTAGCGGCCCTTTAGTCCTTCCACAAAATAGAGCTGTAACAATCCGACTTCGCTGGCAGTCGTGGAAGCACGAGGGAGCCAGAATGACTGCTGGGAACTGTTGTGGTCAAATCATATCCCACAAGGACTGGAGACTCAGTGAAGAAATTCCAGGTGTTCAGACTGAATTAGGGTTGACTATGGAAATACTCAAGAGCTTCCTTACTATTGCTCATCACCCCCTATTGAAAGCACATGCACATCATCCTCAAACTGGTCTCCAAGAGTGATAAACTATCTTAAAACCCACAGAAGACATGTACTTGGAACTTATGCGGGTTTTCTTTTCTGTTTGCTTATAAGAATACTTCAAAAACATAAAAACCACTGCAATGAATCACCTCAGACTACTGGGCTCTGCTGTCCCATGCTGCTAAGCATTTCCAGCTGCCCTTAGTTTCTGTTGGTGTCAGACTTGAGAGGAATCAGCCTGAAAGCATCATGTGCTCGATATGACAGGTAATAAGTCTGTTAATGCACTGATTAAATGCTCAGAGGGAAGAGGAGTCCCCAGACTTTGGCAGCAGGAGAGATAGTAATACTTCAAATGAAAAGCCATCTATTAATTAGGACATTTATCTGTATCCTCAGCCTTGCAAAGCATGACGAAAAATGCATCAGTGCAGCATTATCTTTAGTTGCACGTGCTAAAAAAAAGTAATATCTGTTCTGAGGTGTTTAAACAGTGCTTGAGAGCCCAAGATACAGCCAATTCTACATAAGCAAATAGTTTTTAAAACAATACAGCTAGTGCTGTGGCTTACCTAAACCAAATCTTTGGACTCAGTATTGTTTTATATAACTGCACCAGCATCCAGAAAATGAAGTAATGGTCACGCAATAAATAATTGATATAAGCTTACAAAGGATATCTTCACATAAAGCAGAACTATGTTTCCAGGACTTGCAGAGGTTTTGTTGAAAAATAATTAATAATGAAGTCTGGCATACTTAACTATTTACTTCTCCCAATATGCTCTAAAATCTATAAATAGTGCCTGTGTTTACTATACAAGCATACACACTAAAAGCTTTATCTGAATACAAATAAGGAAAGCCATTAACTGTAATTTAAAAATTTAATCAATTGCATGCGGGCAAAATAAGCAATATGTCAAAATGCAGTAAAAGATGACCTACAGATTTGGAGTTCCTTGGTTCCAGCACCAGTGAGAGCTTGTAGATATCATCCTCAGTGTGATAGAGGTCCAGCGACAGCTGTATGTAAAAAAGAGAGAAAACCAGTAATGTTTATTAGATTGTGTTGGATATAACAGGCTTGTAAGCAGAGATACACCTCCCACTGAAGCTAAACAAGAAGTTTTGCTACTCGGAGCTCAGGATACACACCGAAGCCGCTTGCAGCTGCTGGGAAAGCAGCTTTTCACAGTGCTAACGTAACCCACGCTGGTGAGCACACGTTGCCTGTACTGATCCGAGCAGGTGCTGTGCTTGAGGGCTGTCACAACCTGCATCCCAACATCTTGAATGAGAGGGGCTGAGCGTTGACCTTATCCAAAGAGGGACATTGGTATCAAAGACCACCCTCATGCAAAAGACTTTCTTTTAGCAGCTCAATGGTCATGAGAGATCTCAGAGAAATAACCTAGTGAATACAGAAACTGCAGCAAAGAAGTTGTAAAGGGGCTAGGCTAGAAGCAGCTCAGACTGTGTTCTGGTCAAATTTTGTTCCTGAAGATGTGCCAGAGTACTGGAGGTCTTCTACAGAGACCAGCCAATGCAGCAAAAGCCTCTCTGGGAAAGCCCTGGGCAGCTGCTGACTGCTGAGACAGGCCCAGGAGCCACAGGCCAGGTTTGGCACTGCTGTTGATGCAGCAAAGTGCTCCATGAACAGCAATCCCAGTCACTTTAGCCCAGCTCAGCCTGTTCCAAATCCCCTCTCAGCAAGTAAGGCAAATTCCCTTTCAGCATCTCTTTTTAGATAAATGAAAGATTTTTCTTCCATATACTCATTCTTTTCCCTAGAGGACTTATTGAGAGAAAAGGCGGGGCATAAATACACTTCAAGTAAGATGAATCTGTTTTTACTTCGGCAGCTGCGGTCTTGTACTGATGCAGGTCTGCAGTAAATTCCCCTTTGCTTGGAGTGATGAAGGAGAAAAGTAATTAACACTGTGGCTAATGCTTTGCAATGAGAGGAAACAAACATTGCATGTCTCCTCTGATCATGTCCCTACATTAACTAGCTCTGGAGTAACTGACATGATTTGAAGTCATCACCTGCCTTGTAAATCCCCAGTTAAGCTAAGATTGAGCTAAAAGGATGTTTCCCAGCAGCCAGACAGAATTACTGACTAAATGACTGTAACAGAAGGTTATTTTTAGAGAACCTGAAGTGCTATATTAGTAACAAGCAGGACCAGTGACATGGTACTGCAGAACCACCTCTAGGAACCACCTTCTCATAGGCAGAATTTTGTGCAATGGGTAAGACAGGAGTTGTGCCCTTTCCCAAGATAGGTACACATCCCAGAGTGAACACATGGATTTATAGATGTCTGGATTTTGCATTATTCATTTTGTCTAGCTGTAACACTATGTTGATTTTTGTGCTTCGTAATTTGGTTACGGGCATCAGTGAAAGCCTGAGCATCCTGCAGGTTCCTTCACCCAGCCAGCATGCTGCTGTCACAGGTCAGTGTAAGGACCTGTCCTAAAGATAACGTAGATCCAGTAGCTGCTGTAACAAATATCACTTATTTATTCAGTGATTGTATTCTTAAAGTTCCTTGGTGGAATAAATAAGTGGCACTCAGTTGGAGCAAATGATATTATCAGGCCAGACTGGAACTGACAGCAGAATTTCTAGCTCAAAAGGCCTTGCCCTGTTCCTACTAAAGAGCATCATCTTCTCAGCAGGCCAGATGAGCAGGATTCGGGGATGGAAATGCATTAGTATTTACTGAACAAGTTTGTATTTCCCCTCCCTGAATTATCTGACCTTATAAGCAGCAGCTATAACTTCATTAGGCACAATGTATAAACCCAAACAGTGGACAAGGTGTTGCCTAGCACAGAAGATTCAAATACTAGCAAAAAAATTAGCAGCATGATAACTATGCAGTCATACAAACTTTAATTTTATATCTCATTTACAGCTTTGCTCTGACAGATAAAGTCTAGTAAGAGTTTTCCTAGGACAACCTTTACAGCAGGTGACAATTTCCATTCTAATTTGACTTTCATTGCTGTCCTATTCTTCCAAGCAGTTTGCGGGGTTGGGCGGGGGGAGGAAGGTGGAGGAGAGATTAGAAAGGCTTGGCTTCTTTTTTGTAAGTGGAACTTACTGAACACAAGTTAGGGTGGATGACTTTCAGTTTGGTTGTTTAGATATTTCTCATTCCCTTCACTAGACTGTACAAAGGACTGGGACTTTCCAGTCATTTGCATATAGTCTCAGAACAGGTTAGATAAATAGCTGTTGAGACCTAAAAATAGTGGAGGGGGAAAATGGTGATGCCAAATAGGTTCTAATACAGTTAGTATAAATACACTCTAGACTAGTTGAGAGACTGAGATCCTCTTCCAATCCACAGAAAGTGATGAAACATTTACCCCCAGGCTTTTATTCATGTTGTGAAATAAAACCAATGTGGAAATACTGCACAGCAGGTGAGGAAATCCCTTATGCATCTTTACCAAATGTTAAGTTTTCTAATGATGAAAATGTCATTAGAACTTTGACTCCTCTCTGGTGCACTGCCAAGCTTGAGCTTAGGTCCTCTTTTACTACTTCTGCTGAGCTTCAAGTTTCGGATGCCAGGGCCTGGTACAGAACCGGGTACAGAGTCAGTGGAGATGGAGTGAATGTGGCCAATAAGTCAGGAAAGGAGGAAGAACCACACAGACTAAGAGCAAGCATGCACTAAGAAGTGAGTCCATCTTCATGTAACACTCTGGCTCACCGGCAGATGAGTTGGGGCACATTTGCTTCTCTTGCCCATATAACTCAGTCTCATTTACACATGACAAGGGAGAACTTGCATCACTAAAGGCTCCCTCTCAGCTTTTGTAGTCTCCTATGCAGGTAAACCTGGCATTTGTCTCCCTGCCCTCCACACAGCAAACCTTTGCCTTATTTGTGGCATGTCAACTTCCATGTAAAATATTGGCTTCTTTCGGTTACTTGTTCAAAGCTAAAATTCTGTGAGCTAGAAGATGATTTTTTATACTGACAATAATATGGGGTGGGGGGAAGCAGACTTCTAAGTTTGTGTGCAGACATTTAAGGCACGAGACAGACCACCGTTCCAAAATGCTGACCATGCAAGCAGCTACCACTGAAGCCAGAGAGACATCTTGCTCCCCATTCAACCTTTTGGTCTATACACACAATAGCATCTGAAACATTCCCATAAGACCCCTGACCAGATGCCCTGAAGTTTACTACCAAGCCCTTGCCCCGGCTCTTAAGTCGAGCTCTCACTTCACAGCTCTTAACACAGCCTCCCCAAATGTCACCATTTCCAACCCCCTTCAAAGGTATTAGCTCCTCCAGAGCAGATAGGGCTCCACCACCGAGGAAAAGAAAAACCGGGGCAAATTCCCACATGCCCATGAAGTACCCATTTTATCTTCTTGTGTAAGTTGTTGGACGAGGAAACGAGCGCCCGGTGATTTACTTGTCAAGCAAGCACAGGCCAGGCTGTTAGCACTCGCTAAGTGTGGTGTAAAAGGCAACGCTGCAAGGGATGGAGGCCAGGCAGGGGATTTACACATTGCTTATCAGGACAAAACACCTACTAAAAGCTTGTCTGGGGAGAAGTGGCTTAATGGGAAAACAGCAGAAGTTGAACAAATAGTTGGGTCAGTTGATCCACACGCAGATGAAAAGCACTCTACACTTTCATACACATTCACTAATTTTGAAAGGGAGCTAAGGAACTAAGTAACTTAACTTCGTTAAGGAAGTTAAAGATGAGAAAATTTTTTACAGTTTACATTAGAGAGGGAAGACCTAGCAATAAATAGAATAGTTATTTCTTCAGGCTCTGAAAACTGACTTAGGCAGCAAGGGAGGCTAAATCTGCTAAAAGGCCATTTGCACATAGCAAAGTCAACTATTTTTAGTCAGCAGTTCTTGTTAGCTTTGGGCAGCAGTTCTAGCTTTTCTTCTCTTTCTCTGAACCCAGCCTAGAAATTAAAACTCTCTTATTAACAAAAAAATTGACAGAAACATTTCATCTACTATATGAATTCATTATTACTGTTTAAGAGACCACTGTAAAAAAAAAAGTATTGTATTCATACGTACAGATGAGGACAAAACCTACATACTAGAAGAAAAATGAGAATATTCATATTATGATACGTAACAAAATTCTGGTCCAGGAACCTTTTGTAGACTTTTTTTTTTTTTTCTTTCCAGGAGTCACCATCTTAAATCAAAACTCCCACACTATCAAATGTACTTGAGCCACAACTACACTTCCAGTGCCTATGGAGACATAATTACCTTGGAAAGGTTTTAGGATACCTACAGCTGTGTACCTAGGATACCCATGGCTGTCTCCATCATTAGTGAAAAGTACCACCATGGAAGCACGCTAACAGGTAAAAAGCAGCACAGGTTGATTTTAACACGTGGTCAGGTCTGGAATCAACATTGCAGCACGCAGCTTCCCTTAGTTACGATCAGATTGGCTCAACTGTAACCAAAGTCAGCAGAGGAATATTAGGAATGAATACGTCAGAGCATCGTAAGTGAAAAAGTACCCATCATGTACTCAACTGCTTCTCCTGGTAAATGAAATATACTGAATTAAATATGAAAATATAAATAAAATCCCTATCATTTTGCTGAAAACAAACAAAACAAGGAAAAGATTTTTTTTTTAAAAGGAAAGACAGATACACTATGTAAACTGCAGTTGATACATTGATGGATATGAACCTGAAAGATCTTAGAAAAATCTGAAGTGTTCTGCTCCTTTTGGAAAGCAGGCTGTCACCCAAAAGAGAGAAGAACAGCTAATGAAAATGTCAGCAGCAGTTCAGCTTCCATCTCTCACTTCACATTGTCTAATTTCTGCCCTTTTGGGCTCAGTTTCTTGTTGCTAAGTTCCCTAAAGCCTGGGATTTCACTTCCCCCTACTCACAGCCAAGCTTGTAAAAAACTGTGAACTTTCAGAAACGACCAGGGAGGGAAAAAAAAACACAAGATAAGAAAGCAACTCTCAATCCCTACAAAAACAAAACAAGATAATAAATATCTGCCTTTATAGTCCAATATTTAAATTAAAGAGGTGTTGCAGGGGGCAACACATGGTCCCTTCTCTTCCCTGTCCCACTAACCAGGATTAGGAATTTTTCCCAGATTGTTCCATACAAGGTGCAACAGGAGAAGGTTTTCCTATTCTCCCAAACTTCCCCATTCCTCATACAATGAACCCACAGGTATATCGACACCAGCTTGGTAGCTCCAAGCTCAGGCACGTATTTGTCAGCCTTTGTAGTGTAAAGCTCTGCACCTGATCAGCCACAGCATAAATCCATCACAAACTAGGACCACTGTTTACTTTCTAGATATGCACATTTTTGAGCATTTTAAAGCAAAGCATGAAAGGGAAAAACCTCAAGGGTCCCGCCCAATAGCCCTCCAGTTAAGGCATTTACCTAGAATGAACTAGGTAATGAGAGTCACCTCAAGTCTGTGACCTGACTGAGGGAAAACTGGAATTTGGTTCCTACCTCCCCAGGGAGTGGGGGACAATGCTGAGACATTGCCTGTTCTGGACACAATTATTCAGAGACAGTCAAACTCTTT